CTTAGCTCAGTGATTTGGAACTAATTAGCCGCTATTCAGACTACTCATTCTGACAGTTGGTATCCATAGTTATTAATGTAGTGAACGATTAATCAAAAGATATGACGTATTCAGTACTTAGTGTGATTGGCTTTATGATTGAAGGTTACGCCCTAGAGTCTTTTTACTGCTTTGTAATTGGTTAGAGTTTTGAAAATGAATAAAGAGAGTTTTGAGTTGGTCTTGGGGAACACAGCACGATAGACGCAGTCGAGAGTGCAGTCCTGGAGAGTCTATAGCAGTCCTGGAGAGACTTGGGGCGAGCCTTGACGCAGTCTAAAAGAGTCTTGGGTCAGCCTTGCGATAGTCTTGGGGATTTTTCCCCAGGGCGCTGTGTCTTATAGAGTGCTCCACAGATCGACTAAGACGAGAGCTGAAACGTATTTCGTTGTGTGTGTCTTATTTGACTGTAAAGTATAAGTGACTTTCCCGATCCCGTACCTCAAGGGGACGAGATATAGAGACGAGACGAGATTCCCCCCTGACAAGTGTGGGAACCCGAGAGTAGAAGAATTTACCCCGTGATACAGCTATGACCTTCAAAGTTAGATCGAATTCGTTAAATCATTTTTATGTACAGCGATTATACACTAGAAATGGCAAATCATTTAGGAAACATATTTAAAATATTTTTTTAAAAAACAGAGAATCCAAAATGGTGAAACAATAGGAATTACCGTTATCAAAGTTGTTTCTCTTTATAGTTAGGAGTACATATATCATTTATGCCACAAAACGAACTTTTAGTTTTCTTTTAATTTAATATGTCCACCATACCATGTACCGAACAAACGTCAGTTAAGTTTTGTTCACACTGAAAATTGAATTTGTTACTTGATGCCAGTCAGTCAGTAAGAGCAGTCGAACCATGTAACCTTTCCGGTTTCATTGTGATGATTTCAAAATTAAGTTATGGATGGATTATACGAAAACTTGAAAATATTATAGTAAGAGCATAATTTATTGATGTATTACGTTTTAGGAATAAATAAAATTAGCTTGTAAACCATATGACTAATCCTTTTGTTTTTGTATTTTGAAAATACCCAATGAGAGAATTAATAGTACCCCAGGAAAACTTTAAGAACTTTCACGTCAGGTAAAATACATATTTCAGTTTTCCTGAATAACATCCAATCAAAGTAAGGAGATTTGTCTTTTTAGACAATAATGTACGAGTGTCAGAGTGTGTCCGTACTGTCGCGACAGGAGTCTTGAGGAAATCGCCGCTTATGAGACCTTATGTGAACAGTGCACCAGGTCATAACAGTGAATTATAGTGACTTATATATAATTCTTGTGTTTTGTCGACGTTTTTCGGAAAACCTGCGATTAGGCTGCGAAAGTAGAACATTCCGGAGGGGGTGAATCGGAAGAGCCAAACTTAACGCGCAAAAATAGAACGCGTATTTTGACCTCTGTGTGGCTAACCAATGGCTGTACACGATACGTTTGCAGTCGTTGCCAAAGAGCCCCGCGTCCATCGCCTGGCGATGCTCTTCCGTTTCACACCCTCCGGAATGTTCTATTTTCGCAGGTTTTTCGAAAAACGTCGAAAAAGCACAAGAATTAGTAGAAATGTTCCTATTTTGGGCGGATTATTGATAGAGAATAATGTCTTTATTACAAAAATGCTGAAAAACCGTGAGTTTTTGCCTTAGTTATTTTTTTATAAACCGACGTTAGCTTCACGTTTATCTCACTATGGAAACAACCAAAAACATGTTGCTTGTTTTTGAGCGGAGCGGACGCCAACCAGCCTACCCGCTTGTTATGATTTACTTGTCTACATTGGTCGTGTTATGAGACGTTATATACAAATCAGGTTTACATGGTAACTGACATACCTTCATGGTATCTAGTTTGTCCTTGGTATTATCAATGTGCACTCACTGCATTTGCCTGACGCACAAGTATCTTTGACATCTAGACACATATTTCATAGACATATACACACAACTTTGCCTTACAAGTATAACTGTAAGCATAAGGATAACAGTCATCCACTATATACTTGTGTTCACAATTTACATTATCAATATTACAGTCAGTTTTATACATAAAGCATAACTATTTGGATAGAATCCATAGCATACTATTTGACTTTTAAATACATATAATTTTTAATTGTGTTGAACTGGTGACATCTCAATTTTTATTTTACCACTGGAACTCGATGTCAAGAATATTTAGTATACACCTTAAACCACTATGTCGATGATTAGTACTAGTATTAGTATTAGACTAAACTGTATGCAGAAAACATTTGAATAAATTAGACTCATTTAGTTAGTTCTAATTAACTGAAATGTATTTCATATACACCATTATGTATATGATGACTTTTATTTTACCAACTGTTCAATGAATCTCTGAAAAGTATTTGCCACACATGAAACCTTTTAAGATTATAATAAGCTACCCCCAAATCATCAAATGTTATCAGGAGACACTTTTGACAGCATGACCAGTCGTATCATGACTATTACTATTACTATATGTTTTCAAATCTTCCCAAACATTACCAAACTGTAACTCTTATTATTGTTTGACAATATATATCTGTAATATAACTGTCTAGTTTCTATTTCTCACAACAATTATCAAGCAGCAGACTGAAGGAATACTAGTAATGTTTTACAGTATTCACTATTGGCAATATAATTGACAGTAGACACTGCAATTCCGATGCCAGTTACAGTTGTTTGGTCTCTGTTTAAGGGTTGACAATTTCATATTCAGTCAACATGTAACCTTGTATATTTGGCAAGAAGTCTGTCGGTCATCGGTGAGTTTGTCAGTTCTAACTTTCTTTCCTCCAGTAAGGACCTGTATAAAACATCAATACCAATTTTGTTAAACTGTTGCATATGTCAAAATGCACGTCGATACACCTACAAGAACATATGATGTAGAAATAACATACCAAAACGATATATGTATCTATAGTCATAAAATCAGTCAATCGACACGTTACACCTAAATTGATGACATTTTTTCTGTGCAAAAACATTTCATATTATTGTACGGTATAATATACAATAACAGCATATAGTGATCCCAAAAAAATTAAAGAATATGTATTCCTGATTATGTAATCCAAATACAATTTGGTATGTATTCGTATTACCTGGATGTCTGTTGATGTCTTTTTTGTGGTGAATTTAAAGCAGCATGAATGAGAACTAAATTACACACATCTCGCTGGAATTAAAAAGAAATTATAGTAAGCAGACTGTAACACTATAGCATTCAAAGTGGTTACATAATCAATGCTAATTGGTATTATAAGTCATAGACCTTAAAAGGACCTTTAAGTATAAGTTAACCAACATAACATGCTTCTTCCATATTATACTGTTTCCGCTATCTATTAGTAGTGTATCATTTGTGTATACTTTACTATGTTCTTGTACTAACCATATATTATGCGACTGCATGTTTTATCAATGATTATTATGTTCTGATTCTAAACTTTACCTGGGGCTGACTGCCTCCTATTTTCCATACTTTATGGCGAACGGGTAGAAGTATGTCCACGACCTTAGCATAGTCACCATCCTTGTATGCCTGAAATGCTTCAAAAATCACTATACCAATTTCGTGCATGATGTCACGTTGTGTACCAGTTTGGTTGCTGACAAAACAATATATTCAATCTCATGTTACAGTGCAAAATATTCAAGAGCACCAAGGAGTGAATTTTGAAAAGGGGAAAAATCAAAGACACACGTCTTTTATTTTGCAGGGTCGCTAGCAGAAATGAAAGTTGTGGTAATATATTTATATATATATCTGGGTTGTTTTCTGGCAGTCAGCGCTCCTGGAATAATTTATGTACCTCGTTAACTTAGGTAAATGTAGAAATACAATCCACTTCCACAGAATGACTATATGTGGAACATTAGTCTGAGAGCCGCAGTACTCTGAACTAAAACAATGCGATGGTCTGAGTTGCTAAATGTTCAAGCTCAAGAACTATATGATAATTCTATCATAGCATTGTATTATTACGTACATTTGCTGCAGCTATATTTTGTGCTTCTAGAAAATGAAGGCTTTGAAATCAGATATATACATTTCAATTCAATTGCCATGTAACCAATGTTGTCAGGTTGCCACTCCAATAAATTATTAGTTACTTTAGATGTGTAGGGGCTAGTCTACAATACAACACAATAACCAAACATATTGTTCAAAATCCACAACCCAGAGCAAAAGTATCCAACTGCAATGTCGGTGCAGTTGAACAAAGGCATAATGTCCACAAAGGACATATTTAACGTACAGTTTAGGTCATTAGTAGACTTGCTTGCAGTCTGTTGCGATTCCGATGATAAATTCTTAAAAAATAAATATAAATTGCGTAAACGAGGGATGAACGCGAAAGTCTTGTGACCGCGAAATCAGACAGACTTGGCATCAGTGTAAGCGCCTTCGTCATTACCGGCCAGATTCGTGATTGTGTTAGGAATTGAATGATTTGATTTGATTGAACGCGCCAATGAGCTGGATCCATCAATCAGCGCTTTTGTAACAGCAACTTGCATCAATTTAAAATTTACACCAATACATTTTGCCGTATTTTATTACGTCTTTGTAGTGAAAGCAATACACAACAACAAGTGTTTGTGTTGTCACGTGATTAGGAATTGTATTTCATCCGCGATGGAATATGATTAAAGAAATCAAATGACATACAATGGAAAGTGTAGTCTGTATCTAAAGCAAATTATTTATACGATATTTCACACTATTTCTCTATATATTACTGTCTTGGCAACTCAAGAATTACAAATACAAGCAGTGTTTATCCACAAGCGTCATCACATGATTTGATAACCTGTGAGTCCACAATGGTGATTCCTGATTGGCGGAGTACATTTGTATTTATTTTCAAATTGGAAAACACCTCTGTAAATACTGTGCCGTCGCCCGTGGTTTAGTGTAATCAATAAAAAAGGGTTTTAAAGCAAAGCTGTGTTTAAAAGTATTATTTTATAAAATAAAATATTTTCATTATTTCCGGGCAGCCATGAGTACCAGACATAATCCACAAACTATTGAAGGTTGTCTAATCAGAACCAATCCACAAACTCATTGATTTGAAGATGGTGCAAGCAGGCACAATCGGCAAACTCGTTGAAGATGCTCAAATCGCACAAACGCATTGTCTAAGTAAACACAATCTACATCGATTGTTTAACCAAACGTTTTCGAAAAAAATTTAAATTTCAATGTACGACGTAACTTTTCTACCATAAGTAATTTGTATTTATGTTTGAAACATTTTTGTGCAAAAAAATCAGCGAATATACTCTTTTCATCTGGATTTTGTTAATAACAGCATAAAATAAAGCTATTATTTATTTAGCTATTTAGAAAGAAATTGGCAATGGTAAGTAAAACATGTTAAATGATTACTTACTTTATGTATTTCCTAACCGACTCAATAAATCTGCTAATTTCGTGTTGCCGTCCTCGTCCCATGATTGCCATCAATAAGTGCATGTCACTGTATGCTGATATGTGATCATTCATATAAGGTGATATTACTTTATACAATTCATTGTATCGTTCGCCAACATCAACCCCTGCCCAGAGAGAAAGATCCCCATCAATAACACATTCCAGTTCGAAATGAGCTCATACAATATAATGTGATAGTAGTCATTCTTGTGTTACCCACCTTCTAGTTCCAACCGGAAGAGCAATGAACAACAGTCGTATATATTGAATATGTTCAGAGATTCTGCACTATCAGCACGCCTCGCAATTTCTGTGTCATATACAACGATGGCAGCAGAATAGTCACCCTTTGAGAATCAGCGATGAACAAAGGTTACTTGTCAATACATAGTGGAATATCTAAACGTGTGATGCTGTACAAAATCGATATTCAAGTAGACATATGACGTAATCACATATTATCAGCATATACTGAGCACACACCTTTTCAATGTAACAGATCGCTAAGTGCCAATAGTTGTGACATGTCAGCATACTATGTTTCTGTTAAAACAAAACAAAATATTTATAACACTAAATTATGTTAAGAATTTAGTTGTAGTGTGATTGATAATGCATGTTATTTATTGGGTAACTCTCCTTGAATGGAGCCTCTTCTGAAGTATATAGTTCAATGTGTGCCCCGAATCAATGGTTGCTTCTTCTTAGTGCGGCTGTTTTATATTATTTACTCAGAGTACGAAATATCTAATCTAGAATAGAAACTTTACTTGATCCTTAATACGGCTATAATAAAGACACAGATTTAGAAAATAATCAAATTCAAAAAGCTGAGAATTTAATGTGTATAGAACCAGCAATGCAGCATTATGATTGATCGAGAAACTCTAATCAAATATTAATGTGATGATTTAAGTGATTTCGTAACCATTAATTTATGTCACATATGAAATATATATATATATATATATAACATAATTCTGAATTACGTACGTGGCAATACAATGATGATCTCAGAAGCATTATTGCCTCACCGACATGACCCGTCACTCCTAAGACATGCGCCATTACGTGTACCATTTGGGGATCTGTATTATTATGTTTCAAGCCCTGTAAATGAGTAAATCTTTTTACTTATTAAACAGCCAAATGTCGAATCAGACGCAATCAAACATCTATTGCAGGCTGTCACGCTCATTGAAGGCTGTCTAAATAGACGTTGTTAACACCTTTAGAATACAGATACAACCAACAAATACTCGTTCCATATATTGACATGTTATACACCTATATCGAAATTCTCTTTAAATGTAGACATATAAAAATAATGATAACAGTGATATATTTTATAAATATTAGTGTAGCTACGAACATGCATCATATACATATGTCGCTGAATATAGCTATTTAACCTTACACAAAACAGACTCAAAATCCTAACCATAACAGTGATAGATGGAAGGAACAATATATTCATTATTACAAATGAAGTACAGAATACATAGTCGTTTGCAGTGGAATAACACTAATATGCAAATTAGATGAACTAGCCCCCTACTGAGTTTGTTTTTGACATTTGTTACAATGGCTGTGAAAATACGGTCAGAGTATACACCGTCTCATTCAGGGAAAAGTCCCATTATTTGATCATTGTAAATATATATATTTTGTGTTAATGTCACATGAGCCAGCAGTGTTTTATTGTATATTGAACATATCTAATAATGAATACCCGCGATATCAGATTTAGTATTTAGTATTAGCACATGTTTGATAAATCTGTTATCTATTTTGTCAATATAAACCAACGATCATAATGTGTGTGTTCGCTCCACCGCATCTCCACCGTTTCAACATTAAACAAAACATACTTACCTCCCTTGCTATTATTTCTGCTTCAATAAAATAGTTACATTCCACCAAAACAAATGCATACAATGTCTTCAGTGTACTAATGTATTTGTGTGAAAACAATTGTTATTACATTTATGGTAAACTTGTACATATTATAATATTGAAATCACAATCGAACAATTTCACAATGAAATTATCACATTTTATTAAAAATAGGTTTTTGGTATGTTAAAACCTATCATAATGAGATGTTATCAAACATGATATGAATAAACCTACCGATAAAACTCCATTTCTTCCTCCCAGTATGGCAAAACACGTTTCATCATACCATTCATTAGCTGGGAATATCCCATTATATAACAAGCATCATATGCAAATTTTATTGCAAGTATGTCCGTGGGGTAAGTTGTCAATATCTTCTGCCATGTATTCAGAGCGTCATTAATATTCCTAAAAGACAAATGATTCTTAATACGAATGTCAAATATGATCCCCCGCAATCCTAAAGCTCGCTTAATAATAATATGTATTGTTATGAAGGAATCTGTTGTCCATACCAGTAAACTAATGAAATAACCGCTTCAAGATGTAGTTTCTCCATGTCAGACGTTGTTTGAAGTGTTGCCAGTTTGACCATGTTATCAATTCTTGATTTAAAATCTTTGTTTTTCTGTATAAATATCCCACTAAAGAATTGTAAGCCATTGACAAGAACATGACCAAGTACTGTAATGGGAAATAAAAACATATATTTACCAATCTGTAAATGATAATATGTTAAAGATTTGTTCTCAAAATAATCAATCATGTATTTGGCTTAATTATAGAATCAAAATATTAAATTGTTAGAATCTGTGGTATTTACATTGTATATATTGTTATACACTACTGTTTCATCCGCTATACGATAGATCAACGTGCTTATAATAGCAACTGCAAATTAATCTAGACGTATTGAGCATTGAGGCAATTTATCGAAAGCCCGGAAACAATGGATATTTTGTCATAAATTTAAAAAAACACGATAATAGAAATGTTATTATAATATGTCCAAGGCAACTGGCTAATATCTAATTTTGTCGTCGATTTCCATTAGTTATATGACAGATCCATCAACCAGAGCTTGAAGTTCTCCACTTTGTCAGAACAGTATAATAATAACTTTATCCTCAGGAGTCTGAATACGTTAATTAGCCGCCATCAAAATGACATATCCTGAACAAATCAGGCAAATCGATAATAGAAATGTTATTATAATATGTCCAAGGCAACTGGCTAATACCTAATTTTGTCGTCGATTTCCATTAGTTATATGACAGATCCATCAACCAGAGCTTGAAGTTCTCCACTTTGTCAGAACAGTATAATAATAACTTTATCCTCAGGAGTCTGAATACGTTAATTAGCCGCCATCAAAATGACATATCCTGAACAAATCAGGCAAATCAAAACAAAATCAAAACTAGAAAAAACCATCATCAAAGCACAGGAGCTCTGTAATGATTTCGGTTTAAAAATGCTAGTAGATTTAGTAATATATAAAAATATACATGTGTTGAGTTTAAGCGTTCATAGTGAATTATATTTGAACAAACCCACAAACAAATCTGAAATATATTGCTAATGGAGTCACAATTTTATGGTAATTGGTACATTCAAAAAACTAAACATTTCAATTTCAAATGATGAAATCTGAATTAACCACAATAGTACTTCAAAATTCTGCCAAAGTGAGTCTTGGCTTGGCTGAGCAAATCCTTGTTTGGAAATCTGCCACAGGAAACAAGTGATATTCATTTAATTGTTATTAATGAACCAACTTGAAATACAAGGATGCCAGGCATACCTGGGAGCAGCAATTGCAAATAAAATATACTCTAGTTCAATGAGATTATATATAAGAATTTGTTTACATATGCATAGATGTTCCTATATCCAAGTGAAAGTTGTAATGTTGAACACCTGAACTTCTTTGAGATGTTCACTAGCGGCTCGGTAAATCAACAACCTCGTAGGATCATCGCTGCATGCCTGGTTATGTTTCACTGGTAATTACATAACATACCCACTGGGTAGTAGCAAAGGGTTTTCTGATTCTTAGTCAAGGCTGGCTGGCCAGCGTATACCGTAGGACTCCGGGACATGGTGCCGATAACTGTTTTGTTATGGAGTGGCTTGTGCTGCTTTTGTCATTTGATCACAGTCTGATACCAAATCTCCCGTTTCTCTTTACGGGAAACGATGAATTTACCCTACTAGTCCAAGTTAATTGTTGCTATAGACATTTCTGTTGTGTCTGGGTTTGATTTGATATAAGATTAGGATCAAAATACCTTCTATACGTTTGGGCCCCTTTAAAGAACCACATACCCTCGTTGAGGTACAAGTATTACGTGTTGACCTCACTTTGCGGCACATGACAATGATTCCCAGTTAGTTGCAACCAGCGATCTGTATCAAAATATATAGTGAGCTCATAATTCATCACTATGTCTGTCATGATTGTTCTTAGGAGCTCCTGAGCAATAATTGTCAACCATCAAATCCTCACAAATGTTCAAAGGCTCCCTAGACATTCATTTTGCAACACAGTAAGTAAAGTTTGGGAGAAACAAGCAACTACTCTCAGCTAGTTCAGATGATAAAGTAAGGGCGCGTTTATTGAAACAGTATGCGTGTTTATATGATGCTAATTTACCTATACTTATATTTATGTTGAGCAAGTTCTGCATTAAAGTAGTCGGATACCTCCACTATAAAGGGTGACTTACATTATACATTAATCTAAATCCGAGACTCAATAAAAACATATCACTTTGTGTATAAAATGTTCAATTTACGAACCTGGCATAGAAAATGTTAGAAACTTAATATACTAACCAAAATCAGAATCGGTCTCGATCATGCCATCATTCCGCCATGTGGATTCTCTTCGTTGTACGTAACGTACTATGTAAAAATTGGTTAGTAATTCATTAATTTGATATGTCCAATGTTATCTATCCATATATAGAAGTTATAGAAGTGGAAGACTTCATAATGTCAGATGTTAAAAATGTTATGTTTATTTGATCTCTCTTTCACAACTTGATCGGACTCGTAATTTTTCCCAAGCTTCCTCAAGAATCTAATCTATTTTGCATAAAATGATTAATTTTAGATGAAACAAAGACTGACAATTACCCATCATGCAATATAATTATTATTGAGCAAACAATAACTTTTTACTATCATTACTAATTTTTAAGTACAATAGTATTTAGATTTAGTGCTAGTAAGCCAAACACAATAAGGAAACGTCAGTTTACAAACACTTATTCTCAAATATTAAATAATACTACCTGTCTGAAAAGTATGTCATAGAGTTTGGCTGTTTCGCTGCTAGTTGTAGACGGTTGGCAAGCGTGATCTGTCCGCTCCTGGTATAACCATCCAATTAACATAATAAATAACGTTATTGCATAACAAAACAATAGTGTAGAATAGAAATATGTCATTGTATTCATGTTGTCAGAAAATATTTGCAATACCTTACCTGACAATCCCGACAGTTGACCTTGGATAACATTTTTATACCAAAAAACACGTCTAATACTGCAATACAAAATTAATGTGTTTCAATCACCGAGAAAACAAACACGCATACACTGCCACTGTGAAACGTGTCTCTGTTAATGACGACAGTTGATGAGGCGGTTTCTTAACTATTTAAAAAAAAATCAACATGGCCTAAATGACAGGATTAAGAATAAAATCATGATTGCAGTCATAATTGCATAATTATCATAGTTTATACAATATTATACTATTTTATAGTTTGCTTTTCGACCTATGTTCACTCGCATGCTGTCAAGCCTTAATTTAGTATTGCATTAACTATTCAGCTTCGGCTACATAACTATATTCAAATCGAGATTGTGGTCACTAGATTTCAACCATCAAAATTTACGTAGTGACGCCATTTAGATTTTACATTGTGTTTGAGACGGACGGAAATTCATGTTTATGTTTCCATCACTCACATGTTTAATTCATTCATTCTTCACCCAGGTGAGCAATTTTTAGAGCAGGAATGAAGGCAATCTGATTAAAATCCAATGTAGGTATGAGGCTCCTATTATTATTATTTTTGTTTTGACCCTTTGTATTATATTTATGGCGCATGCGCAAAGTCAGACAGCCATTTGTGTAAGCCGCACCATGATTGGTCGACAAAACTCGTCGAAAACTGATCTCGTTATACGAGATTTGTATAGGCATTGAGTCAGATTTAGTTAGAGGCGACTGGGACACGAATATCTATAAACTGATAAACGGCAAGAAAAAGACAAAAATCGAATTAAAATTCAAAATAAAATACAAATAAATAAATACAATATATAGGGTCATTTAATAAAAATAATAATAATATTTAAAAAAATTGGAGCCTCATACCTACATCGGATTTTAACCAGATTGGAAGCAAGGTTATTTTATGTTTCATTGTATTTTTCTTTTAAAACAGTCGTATATTTTCAAGGTTGTTTTAGTTTAAAGCTAGCATGGCCGACTGCAGTAACCCCTATCACGTCGTTCTGGACTACGAATTCGAATTATGTTCCATAAATTGACGAACGAATGTTCCGATGATTTAGTTTGCAATTTTTTTTTGAACCCCCCAAAATATTCACACCGCTGCGATCTTTTAAGTGACCTCTTTCATACAAACTGTGCAAGTGGAAGTCTTCACTTAATTTGTTTACGCTTATGAATATTCAACAGCTTTCCATGGATAATTACTGATTACCGTAGGTGTGAATCTGTTGACAAAAGAGAGTATGTTGTTGCCAGACTGGTGGTGGAGGAAATCAACGGTCTATTCACACAAGGCTTCAGTAAATCCGCCACTTTGGAATTATTTGACGGTGGTCGGTGTATTACCGATTGTCTGAATGTGTTTAGGGGGGGGGGGGGTCATCCGAAGATCAAAATGCGTTGTCTCATCATCGTTGTCATTAGTACTATCACCTTCATATATATATCAGGGGTAAATTCTTTTCCACAGGGTTCTCCACACTTGCCAGGGGGGAAACTCGTCTCGTCTCTCTATCTCGTCCCCTTGAGGTACGGGATCGGGAAATTCACTTTAACTTTACAGTCAAATAAGGCACACACAACGAAATACGTTTCAACTCTCGTCTTAGTCGATCTTTTGGAGCACTCTATAAGACACAGCGCCCTGGGGAAAAGTCCCCAAGACTCTCACAAGGCTGAACCAAGACTCTTTTAGACTGCGTCAAGGCTCGCCCCAAGTCTCTCAGGACTCGACTCGACTGCCCAGGACTGCACTCTCTCTACTGCGTCTATCGTGCTGTGCTCCCCAAGACCAACTCAAACTCTCTTTATTCATTTTCAAAACTCTAACCAATTACAAAGCAGTAAAAAGACTCTAGGGCGTAACCTTCAATCATAAAGCCAATCACACTAAGTACTGAATACGTCATATCTTTTGATTAATCGTTCACTACATTAATAACTATGAATATAAACTGTCAGAATGGCGACGATTATCTCGTAATTAGTTCCAAATCACTGAGCCAAGTTCTGTCCAAAACTTCAAATAGGCCTACACGATGACAGACATAACACAGCAATTCGCTAATAATCAGTTAATTAAGTCGGTTAACAGATACGCGAAAACAAATTCATGACATATTTATATATATATATTAACATCATATTTAATCGGATACAATTTAAGTTTTTAACTTGTCCTGTACTAATATAAAAGGGGCCAACAAGGCTACAAAAATGAAAGCCTTAATAGAACAAAAGTTTTCATTTGGCTTAGTGTGATTACACCAAAGATACTAAAAGCTGACCAATTCCTTTGCAAATGACGAATCTGCACCTTGCAATGCTGCTGGTCACTTTCATTTGAATTTGTTAACGGGAGGGGGGGCTACTGCTATTGAAACTCTTCACGACAGGGCTAGGGTTTGTTAACTGACTCATCATTTGTGTGCCAGCCAAACGGAGTGGCGCGTCTTCTATTGATGTACGCATGACTGCTATCGTTTAAAACCCCATTTTTGATGGTGCTGCAGTGTCCCTAAAATATGTTACTCTGGTCTTAGTACTTAGTCAGTAGTACACCATGTGTATGATTTAAAATTTGTTATAGAAAATGAGTGAAACCACAAAACAACTTTTCACGATGTCAACAAATACTAAAAATACATCTTTCAATAATATATTGTGGTGTAAAATTCTATATATAATGATGAAATAAAATTAGTCCTTTCACCAACACATTACTCCAAATAACTGTGATAATGTATAATATAGATAACTTACAGAGGAAATTGAATGTACGCAGAGACTGTTTCTTCTCAGTCCGTTAGCTTGGTGAAATGTGAAAAATAGGAGAGTGGTTTGTGACGTCGGTAAATGATTTGCTGTATGTACCAGTAGAAATCAAAACAGGTGGGTAATCTAAATCTGAATAACAAAAAAATACATGATGTGTATCATTCCCCTGATATAGTTTAAAGAAACATTTTTTCTCCTTTAATTTTTGGTGTATAAAATTAAATTTTAATAAATTATCAATATATCATGACACTTCTTTATAAATAATTTGACATATAATCGACAATGAAGATGTCAACTTTACAGTTACTTAATTGATAAATGATTGACTAGGTATATTGGTCTATATAACTAAATTTATGTTTACATACATATGAATAACAAACGTTCTTAAATAAATCACTTGCTTATTAATTACATGTATTATATATCAGTCAGATTTACTTCCGGGTCAGGTGTGGTATATAATGATGGACTAAAATAGGTCCCTTCGCCCATACATTACTCTAAATATCTGTGATAATATATAATATAGTTAACTTACGAGGTAAACTGAATGTAGAGACTGTTTTTCCTCTATTGTGACTGTGATATTATAATAGTAGACTGGTTTGTGACATTGCTAAATAATCTCTGTCAGTGTTGTGTGTCAGCAGAAAACAGAACATGCAGGTATTCTAAATGTGAATCGCAGAACAATCACGGATAAATCTGAGGTGACGTCAAACCAGCAACTTACACAACGCGGATACTTTCAATAGCATACACACGGAGCTATATAGACATCGAACTT